CAATCCAACTCCCAACGAATGCAATACAATGGAAAACAACAACAGTTGGGTGATGCAGATTCTGACAATGGCTGGCTGGGGAATTCTGGGAGTTGAAGTCCACTCATCTTAAAGTGGCCAAGTTTGGACAACACTGGCTTAAGCAAACCCCCAGTGCTGTATGGAAGGGGAACTTCTTCGGAGTCTGTTTCCCATGCTAGATACTCAGCAAATATCTCTTGCCTATTCCATAAAAACCCCTTTACCTTTTCCCACTATAATGTTTTGCCATCCTTGCTGTTAGGAGGATTCAGTGGTTTCCCTGCTTTGCCTTGTCTGCTGGCAGAAATGGAAATAGTGGCCCTTCTGTATGGTTTGGCGATCCAACCTAGTAAATGCTCTTCTTACTCCATTCTTGAGCCATTTCAGAGGAGGGGAACATACTCTGTCTTCCTTTTAGCTGAGAAGTCATGAGGTGTCCCTAGAAGAGATTTCTAACCATTTAGCAATCTTGGTAACTGATACTTTGTATACTGTATATGTTTCTGTCTAATCACCTGGTTATCTAAAGCGTTTCTTTGGTACGTTTGTTTTGGTCTTTGGTGTGTTTGTTTCGGCCTGGTTGTGAGACTGAATATGGAACTGCATGCCCAAATTTCTAGTAGTGCACAAACTTATTGCGCCGGCTTATTTATTAAGAAATTTGAATTTTTTTGCAGCAAAAAGCTATATATCTTGCATCCTAATTTAAAAATGTATACTCCTTTTAAATGCGCACAGTTTACCATTGGTAAATATAAGTGGCTATCTCTTGTGAAATTTTATTTATTTTGGTATTTGATTAGCATACAGGATAAAATAAACAATACAAAATGAATCACAAAATTGATTTTGTAGCTATAGTGCTTGGTGTTCGTAATGTAAAGTTTTTTTTAACCATAAAACACCTTTAAGATTACAATCTGTACATTAAAGACTACAGGTGAATATGTATGAATCTAAAATCTGTACATTAGAAGATTTATATAATAAATAGCAATAAGGTTAGAATCTGTACAACTATAAATATGTTTATAGTTTATATAAATGTTCTCCTCCATTATAGTCAGCATAGTGTTAATTTAGGAACACAGAATACTGTCTTAATCAAAACATTACAGATCAGAACTATCTCTATTGACTGGTTACAGTAGTTTTATAGAGTTGGCGATAGGAATCTTTCTCACTCATACCTAAAGGATACTGTATATTTAATCTGGGACTGTTTGCCTGGAATTATGCTTCTTTGCTAACTTTGTTCAATTTATATTTAACATTATTAGCAAGGTGGGAAGGGCATGTTATATAGCTGATCACCACTTCATCTTTCTGAATCACCTCATCAGTTATCTTCCTAATCAGTCCTTTTCAGTTTATCACTAATATAACTGCTAGACTATGAGATGGCAGGCTTGTTGCATTAGTATTTTCAAAACATGTATTTTACTGGATTTCTTTGTCTTTGAATACACATTCCACTGTAAGTATGAGGAGAAAACCAGTTTTTATTTTATTTTTTAAAACATTGCTATTTATATTCTGTGTTTCTGCCCAGAGACAGAGGTGAATAATGATAATGTATAAAACAAAAGTTAACATTTCATAGAGAACCGTTTAACTATTATTAAGATTATTCACACTGAAAAGGCTTGGCTGAAGAGGAAATTTTGATTTCTTTCCTAAAAGCAAAAAGAATGAGCTACAAAGAAACATAAAAGTCCCTTTCTCACATTCCTGACAAATGAATCTCAGAAAGTGGGAGCATCTTTAAGAGTGACTCCCTTTTCTCATCTTAATATTTGGAGATCTTTTAGTTACTATCTGGAGAAAGTTAGTTCTCTTGCCCTCTAGAATATCATTCTCCCTGAGGTCCTTATGGCCCTGGTCCTTCTGTCATTGAGGAAAACTTAAAAACCCGGCTCTCCCAAAATGCCCTGGGCCAGGGTGATTTGTGACCTCATATGAATGTTGCGATATTTTAAATTTTATGGTATTTCCCTGATGCGATGGTTATTTGAATAATTTCTTTGTTTAACATTTTACATTATATTTTTAAACCTTTTTTGTATAGATTGCCTTGAGTTGGTCACACTGAGATGGCCATATGAATAATAACAGTAGTAATAATAACAACAGCAACACAGCAGCAACTGGTCTACAAATAATCAAGTCCTAAGCTGTTTAGAACTTTAGCATTTAAAGACAACACAACAGTTGTGTTGTGCCTACAGAACAGTTGCCTACAAAACAGTTAGTAGCCACATTGAAACCTTTCATTCATATCCACATTCATCATGCAAAGTAATGACAGTGCTGGCTGATCTGTCTCATATAGGTACAGGTAGTCCTCGACTTACAACCATTTGTTTAACAACTGTTTGAAGTTATGACGGCACAAGAAAAACTTGTGACTGGTCCTCACACGGTCATTGCAGCATTTCTGCAGTCACAGTATCAGAATTCAGATGCTTGGCAACTGACATGTATTTACGATGGTTGCAGCCTCCCAGGGTCACATGATTGCCATTTGCAACCTTCCCAGGGGGCTTCTGACAAGCATAGTCAGTGGGGGAAGCCAGATTCGCTTAACGGCTGCAGAAAAGGTTGTAAAATTGGGTGTGACTCACTTAACGACTGCATCGCTTAGTGACAGAAGTTCTAGTGCCAATTGTGGTTGAAGTCAAGGACTACCTGTAACCCAGTTGTTTTAAATTTGAATTCTCTTCTCTACAGCAACATAGCAGAACTATGAATTCTAACAAGTTATTGGCATAGTTTGAAATATCTTGTTTGAATCACTGGAGCCAGTCTATCAGTTGTACAGTATCTAACATAATGGAATGGATAGCTGACTCCATTCTACATTTCAGAATATGGTAATACTCTTGAATACAGTGAAACAGCTCTGGCCTTAAGATTTTTTGAAAAATTCACTGATAAACTACAAAATATTTGCAGAGAAAAAGCAAGGGAAGTGATGAGTTAAATTATTGTTCTGCATGCTCAAAAGACAAAGATTTTCTCCATGCATGGAGAAAAATATGTATTTTTTATTGAAAAATAAATCTTAGTTGTGATTGAAACTGTGCATAGCATCTATAATATTTTTCTTTTGTAGTAAATCTAATTTTATTGAATTAAGTAAATGAACTAGGTTTTTTCTTAATTTTATGTTATTTTGATGGGTGGGGGGGTTGGTAAAAGCAAAATGCTACCCCTCGCCCCCAAAATAACCTGCAGCTTTTCCCACTGTTGGTGGCAGGCATGTTGATAGTAAGACTGGGTTTCCTGTCATGGCTCCCTTGCCTGATGAAAAGAAAAAACCTGCAGTCTTTTCTTTTTTTATTCTTTCCAATCCAACAGAATGTTGAAAAAATTGGAAATGGGTTTGTGACTCTGAGTGTCTGTCCATCAGCAGGATAGTTCCTAGAGGACAGAACAGAACACCACCAAAATTGGTACGGGGAGAGAAACTGGCAGAAGAACAATTAAGTACAAAAATGGGCTGGATCTGACTGGAGGCTGCAGAGAAATACATTCCAGAAAAAAATTCCCCCAGCGCATCTCCCACAGTCGGGCAGTGGATCGGAATGCTGCTGACTGCTCTGTTCTACGCTGTCCTGCCTCCTAGTCATACGACTCAGAGTGGGGCGTAAATGCAGCCTACCCAGTGCTGTTCAGTACAAATACAACACGAAGTGAGGGCAGAAAGACACGTGTAGAGTTGCAACATTACATCCATCCATCCACCCACCCACCCACCCTGATTAGGCTCTCTCACACACATACAGAAGCAGGCAATATATATGCAGTGACCCTAATTAGACCCTCTTTTTCATGCACACAGGCAATGCACATGCACCCACTCTGATTAGACCCTGAGAGACACACAAATAGATGCAACATGTAGTGAGTGGAGAAACATACACATACCATGTTACTTTGTTACACAGAAAAAGGTCCAGATGCCACCTCTGGCTATTGCAGTTAAAGAGGTTGGAAAGAATTCCAGAAACCAAGCTCTCCCTGTTTTCCTTACTTCTTTCTTTTTAAACAGAAAAATAATAGCAAGCAAAAGAGGAAAGTCATCAGAGAAGGGGGGTAAAATATCTGCTTTTTAAATATTATTTTGCATTTTGGGATTGGCTTTTGTTGAATGTGTTTAGGAGTCAAATAGTTAATAGGAAAATTTGGCCTGGGGGGTGGGGGGATTGGCTTCATAAAAGGTGCAGTAGGTCTAGTTTGTCCACTAAAACACTAACATGCAAAACACATACAAAAAGAACCTTCACAAATTTTGGTCCCATCTTCTCTGGGGGCTGTAGAGGACCACACTGCACTCTTGTTCTACAGCAACACCTAAATAGGATATTATTTAGATTTGTGAGGTTTTTATGTATCAAATGCATCCCTGCTCCTTTTTTTACTTTGGTGTTTGGCTGCATACTTAATGGCAAACCCCTTTCTCAGTGTAAACACATTATTCTGTCTCATTTTTTTGCTAATTTTTAAAGGAGTTATAAAAAATCTAACACCAATTATTCAAAAAGCTTTTCTCCTCCTTGCTAACCTGAACTACTCCTTAATGCTGCCTCTTCCTCCTCTTTCAACATAGCCCCTGCCAGCTCAGCTGGCACTTCTCCTCTTCCTGCTACTTCTGCCTCTGCTCCCGCCCCTCTCGCTCCTGCTACTGCCCCATCCTCTGCTACCCCAGATGTTGCTGCTGCTGCTGCTGCAGGGGTTCAGCCCCTTGCTGATGGCTTCACTTCTCCAACTCCCCCTGCTGCCTCTTCCAATCCTTCTTCAGGTGAGTTTCTGCTGCTCGTTGCTGGCAACTGCAAAGAAGTGCAATTCCTGCCTAAAGATGATCACATGCATTGAGCTTTAGATAGATGGGTATTTCCATTATTTCTCTTTCTCCTTCTTGAGTGAGGAAAAATGCTTTTTCCCCCTAGGACCACATCAGAATGAAGATTATTTATTTTGGAGCTAGTGGCTTTTGCTTTCCAGATGTTCTGGAAAAAGTCAGAACACTTTTTAAAAAGATGGAAGCTAAAATCAACCAAGAGGCATTTTGCCAGATTAATTCTGTGAATAGCAAACTCTCTGGGTTATGCTCTAGCTCATGCTATTAAATTTATCTGCAGTTTTCTTTCTCAGCTTCATATGGTACAGCTTCTGGTATGAGTTTGGCTTATTGCATTCCTACATATGAAGTACAAAAGTCTGTAGTGAAAATAAAGCCTTACATGTACTAAAGCACTATTAGGCTACATGGAATCCAAACATTTTAGATTATAGCTCCTAGAAACTCTCATCATACCTGCATAGGACTCTGCATTACAGTACTTCATTTTTCTTCTATTAACTGTTTTAACAACTGTTCATTAATTGTGATGACATATTTATATAAAAAAGGCTGAGAATGTTCAAGATCATAACATCTCACAAAATTTGGAATGATAATGCTGAATTAGCATGAAATTATAATCAAGAACGCCAACATTTTGACAGTTGGCAATATTTTTGCCATTTTATTTTTTTCAATTATTTTTGGCAATCAACCGAGAGAATATCTCCAATAGCCCCAGGAGCCACCAGTGGTCTTGAAATGTTGGGTGAGGGAGTGACCTCAAGCTGGTCAATAATAAGATTGTGGAAACTATTCAAAAGAACACTTGGCAAAGCATGTTGGCACAGACAGTACTTCCTCTTGGAGCACCAGTGAAAGAGTTGTGCATACAAATGCGTGCAGAGACAACTGGGGAAAGTCCAGGCATGAGAAATTCAGAATTCTGTAATTAGTGAAGCCCATTCATACTTGGAGCAACACCCAGCTGCTTCACACATAATATCTGACATGAGATTCTTCTGCATTCTGACTCTTTACTAAGAATGTCATTTTCACTGAGAAGCACTGTGGCTGAAAGAATAGAGGATTAGACATTTAGTTCATATTAAGTCATTCACCTATGCTGGTTATTAAGTAATCAACATGCATGTTATGTATGTATTATATCCAAATGCCAAGTTTTGGGAAATCAGGCATAGTTGTGTACTTCTATTTTTTAGCCAATTTTTTTCTGAATTAAAGAGAATAATTTCCGAGAATGTTTTCCTCTTAAATTTGTTTAATGTACTCTCATCCACATAGGATTTTTTTTTTCTCATTGGAGAACTTGATTGAAGCATGTGTCCTTTTAAACACTTAATTTGAATTGCCCTGCCCAAGTTGAATTACTTCATCTAAAAATGCATTGCTCAAAGTTTTATATTTTTCTACCCTGTCAAAATAGGTCATCCCATTCAGTTCTACAGCATGAACAGACCTGCTGCCCGGCACACGCCTCCAACAATAGGGGGCTCTTTGCCATACAGGCGTCCTCCATCCATCACTTCACAGAACAGCCTTCAAAGCCAGGTCAATGGAGGACCGTTTTATAGCCAGAATCCAGGTAAGAGAGGCCCCTATAGAATTCGCAGCTCTGATCCATTAAAGAAGAACTGAAGAAGAGAAGAATGTTAGTACAGAGATATTTGGAGTTGGCTAGCAGGAACCATGTATCTGTTTTAGCATGTAACTAGTCCTAGCTCTATTCTTTCTAGTATAACATTTACACTAAGCAATTGGTAGTGGAAACATCAAACCCAAGAATACCCAGTTCACTGGCTTTAAGTGCCTCTTGACACAGTACGCAAAGGCATGTGATTCATCATAATGCCTCTACAATGCCGGTGGATAGAAAAGTATATATGTACATGTACATACATGTTATGTTCAGATACATATACCCCCCAAAACTGCACGTACTTTTTAAACATGTGAAGTAAGTAGCCTTAAGATTGGACACATTTTTTTTCTTCTGCAAAAACCCTATTTTCTTGCTATTCAGTATATTTGGTGGAATACTTTGCAATATAAATTGTTGAAATTTGTTGCCTTTCCTTGTTGAGATATCATGGAAGGTGCTAAATAATGTATAACAACAACAACAACAACAACTGTCAAGTCCTTCCCAAGGGCCTGGGATAGGTAGATAGACAAACAACATCATCTGCCTATCCGAGGTCCTTGGGAAGGACTCGATAGGTGGATAAAAATGCCAAATCCAGTCTAAACATCTGGCTGACTTTGCGACCAACCATAAATAATAATAATAATAAGAAGAAATACCATTTGCCTGCAAGCAAGAACTGGTGGGACCACAAAACAGGCAAAGTAATAG